GAGGTGCTTAATCAACTAAAATGATCAACTTCAAGATATGAAATAAATGGGGTAGTTTTTCTGTTTCAGGCAGTTTAATGGTACTAGGCAATAACCAGCAAGAATGTGACTTCATGGGCTACCTTATTAGTTTTAGCTATAATGGTTTTGGAAACTCGGATTTCTCATGTAGTAGTTTGTAGATAAGGCCTATCTGTTGCATTTGGAAAGCTTCAGGATTCTCAGTGACTAAAAGTCAGAACAGTTGAGGATAGAGGGAGAAGAGAGGAAAAACAAAGACTTTTTTGCGAATAATCGAATTTCTATCTTGTCTGCTTTGTTGTAGCTGCAGTTTTACGTATGCATTTAAACATCAGTTTGTATCACCTTGCTTGTAAATGAATTACTGAAACATATAGGAAATATATTTCAGTTGTTCTAAAAATGTCTTCAGTGTTATGTAAAAATTATTAGAGATATGTATTGATTTTTAAAGATCTCAGATGACAAGATGTGTCCATACAGAATGCCATTAAATACCAAATTGTATATATTTACCAGGTTACTTTTATGTTTCATAAGCTTTTTCAGCGAGAGAGTCTGCCTCTGAGAAACAGGTACAGTATACCTTGTGATTGCTTAAAAACAACCTTTAATTTTGGTGAATGCATGTAAAGAACACTGGAGAGAAATAGCAGGAGCATTTTTACTCTAATGTATCACTGAGCCATTGCCATCTGAGAATATACAGAGGAATATGTACAGATGATCATGAAGAAATATATCAGCATTCAGTTCTTATTTCCATATTTTGCAGCTGTACATCACAGTAGTACAGGCTAACAGCTCTTTGTGGCACAGATTCTGCCATCTTCATGAAAGCTGATACCTTATTTTGCAACATACTTGATCTCAGGTGTGCAACTTAAAGGATGAGTTATCAAGTATGAAAAATGATGGCAGAAATCTGATATTTAACAACCATCACAGCTGGTGCTATCTTAATCCTGAGACAGAAAGTATTGTGTTAGTAATTTTCCTGGTTTTGTCCTATGTGAGTCTTTGTCATACATAAGTCTTTAAAACAAAGCTTTTAAGAAATTGCGCGGGTAAAATTGAGATTGTTAGCATAGAAACTGAAATGACAATGAATATTTTTGGTAGGTGTGAATACAGATCTTAATAACAGAAGCTTTCATTAGAAAAGAGCCTTTACTTTCTAATGCTTTGCATTTATAATGGCCTAAAGTATCTAAAGATCTGATGGTTTACTAATACCTGAGGTTTGGGGGTGATTATCAGTCAGAATGTGCTCAACATAGCACAGAATCAGGCCAGTAATGCCCCTTCCCATTGTCATAAAAACAAACCCCAGAGTGCCTCTATGGAGAGGGTAAATTAGTTGTAATAATTCTTACTGCATTTAGCATTTACTTACATAAAAATAATTTTAAAAAAAGTAAAAGGCTTTCAGGAAGACTTGAATAGATTACCCAGTTATTTTACATGACCTTTATTAGAAATTAAAAAACCTGAAATTCAATAATTTTGTTATTGCTTAAATAAAAGCATTCAGAAGATGAAACAAATCTACTTTTTAAACAGTGCACTGGCTTTGCTCACTTACATACACTTAGAGCAATTACTTTTTTGGTATGTTAACCTGTCCAACCAATGGTTGTGCAAGTAAAATTAATCATTACTTTAATTATTTAAAGGATTGGACATACTGTGCTTCAATGTGACTCAGTGGATTTAAAAACCTTTATTTTTTTCAGATAACTAGTAGGAGCTTAATGAAACATGGGAATAAATATTTTTACACTGCTCTGAAGCATAATATAGCAGCAGCTATCTTCAGATGTCAGTTGTCATCCAATACCAAGCTATTAGTTATACTTGTTTCACACCTGAATGGTGTAGATTTGCCTACTGTGATAATCCTACCCTTTGATCTGTACCTTCAAAAAGTGACTGTTTTTGTGACACAAGGTATTATTATTCTAGTCTGACTTTAATGAGTTGTATGTATGAAGTCTGATATTAATCCAAACTGCCACACATGAAAGCTGAGAACTCTGAGAAACATACGTTCACGAAGGTGCTTGAGTTCATGTGAACAGAACGGTTTGTAACCATCCTGTGTGCTATTGACAGCAAAACCCCTTTTGGCCCTCACAGGCTGGTAAATGAATGTGCTTGTTGAACCCTGTAGTTCTCTTTGAGTCATCTGCTAAGCCACAGATAAGACTAGGAGGAAGAGATGAGCGTCCGCTAAGGGGATACAATGCTTTGTCTCACTCACTTCTGCCTAGCGAAAGTCTGATACCGTGTTTGCAGTTGCCATCGTGCGGCAGGAGGACAGCACCTGGATGGAGATGTTCGGCCCCTTTTATAAGCTGGTGTCCATTTCAAAGCACAGTGTTAACTTCATGTTGCTCTGCTGTGACTTTGAAGGATATAGGAAATAGTTTGAAGATGTGATGGAACAAAAAACGAGTTTCAGTGTTGAATAAAGATGTACAGCTATAGTAATAGTCCTTGTTAGTTTTGTATAAGTGCCTCATCTCACTCATAAGACGTCAGGTAAACTAACGGTAAATTGTAATGCTAAGGTGTACTAGGTCAGTTTGGAAAGCAGGGATGTACATATCAAATTCCCACGGAAATAATTCAGGGTTTTTTTTTGTTTGTTTGTTTGCTTTCATAACCAGCACGGGGATGGCTACTACTGTGCTACTACAGATTGGTTAAGAACTAACTCATCAAAAACTGGGTATTTTGCTAGCCTTTTACTACTGAATCATGCTCAAAAGGGACAGGCTTTTGAGATACCTTAAGAAAGCTTTCCTTTAAGCACTTCTTGCTAAAATTAAATGGATAATATTAAAGGGTGGGGCGGGGGGGAATGCTCACAGAAGCTGTTAGAATTAGTTACATATGGATATAGCGATATCCATGGTTTGAACAACTTGGACGATACATTGGGGGAAGAAATGTTCAGGTGTACTGGTAGTTATACAGAGTAGGTGGGGTAGGCAAGCTGAAGTCAGCATTTGCTTAGATTATTATGCTTGATTTCTAATGTCTAATATTAACTCGGCAT